GCCACAGAGAAGGCGCTGACTCTGTTACCATCTGGGAGAAGCAGGTCTCTGCAATCACAAAAGTCAGGCACCTGAGTAAGCACTGCTTTTTACTGAAGTGTCTCCCTATGCAAGGAGGTGGAGTCTGCCCTCACACATGGATTTCTTGGCAGTTATAAAACATTCGGAATGCAATGAATGAGCCAAAACATTGCTTGGCAAGTAAAGGGACTTCAGGTTCATTGTTGTAGAATCAGTATTAAGTCAAAAGGTCTCTAGGAAACAAATGTGCTGTGCACACAAACAGTTACAGTGTTATCTTCAGAGGACTGGAAACTGCTCTCACTCTCCCGGTGAAAGCAGGATGCATGCAACACAAGTGACTTATGGGAAGCAAAATTTTGGAGTTAGAATTTGCTTAATAAAAGCGTGGGTAACAAGCAGAAACCATCCAATATACAGGGAAGGGGTGGGTATATGAATTTAAAAAAACAGCAAAGAACAAAAACGGAACTGACTGCTGTCACACTCACTTTCTGGCACTCTTTGCAAAGTCAACACCAATTGTTTTGCCATCAATTTTTAACGGTGGCTGAAGACTTTGTAAAATCTGTAGCAGTTGAGAAGCATCCTACAACAAAAAATACTCATTATTATGAAGGGCAGTTTACCGAGGGGGATTCAGAAGTCCCCCAAACTCCATCTTTTCATGTAGAGCCACTGAGAAGAGTTAAAGATGTAAAAACACCTGCATCTCCTCACATTACACACATGAAGAAGAGCACAGTGAGACCCCTAACAGCTCACGTGAAAATGCTGAGCATTTCCTTGGGTCACATAGTATTAAATATGTTCCAAAAGCTTAGCTTTATCAAGACACAAACTACTCTAAATGGGACACCAGCAAAAACTGAGATTGGGCACCTGTTTTAATCCAACCACCTGCTTTCCTCTGACAAAAGCAGGTCCAAACAGATCACACTGCTGCTTGAGTTTGATGTACAGACTCAATGAATCATTCAGGTTGGAAAGGACCTTTAAAATCATCAAGTCCAACGGTTAACCCAGCATTGCCAAGTCCACTGCTATGCCACACCCCTCAGTGTCACATCCACATCCGAGAACAGATTCACTGCCCTTCACAGACCCCATGCCAGCATATGACTGCCCTGAAACTTAGGTTTTTCTTGTACTTCTGCAGTTTCCCATGTTTCAATTTATGGCTGCTCCGCATTGTCCTATCCTTATGTATCCTTGAGAATATGTTTCTGCTGTCTTTACACCCTCCCACTGGATGCTGCTAAGAAGAGCAACATCTGCCTCCTCCTCTCAAGGTGGAAGAAGCCTAATTCTGTGCACCTGTTCCCACACTGTATGCCCCAGATCTTAGAATCCGTCAACAAAATATGATCCTGCACCAGTACTTCTGCAATCCAAGCATGAAGCTAGGCTGCAATCCAGACCAGAACTCTGCTACCAAAATTTTCAACGTGCTCCCAACATCCCACCACCTTTCAAACTGCAGCTACATATTATCAGCTTTGACACACAGTGTCCATCAACCCTCCTTGAAGGGGGACAGTCCTTCAGACAGCTCAGGGCCCTATATACTGCAAGGGAGAGAAGGTGGCTAACCAGCTGCTCCTCTCCAGAACACCAGTAAAGTCCTCACCATGGCGGAAGACAGCTGCACAAACGCAAAGCCTCTGTTCTGCTGAGTCTGCTTGTCTTTGATGAGACGAATATTATTGACTGCCAGAGATGCATATGGAGACAAGGCAGTCATGATGGATTCCACTACTGTGTGAGGAGCAATGTTTCGAAGAATGATGGCTGAGGAGAAAAAGGATTACATTAGCAGTGCACACCACGGCTTTGCAGAGTATTTCAAGTCCTTCAGCTGGCAGGCTGAGGTACAGAAAGGATTTTCAGTGTGTGTGTTTACATTTCACATTCTAGAGTAAGTCAAAGATCACTTACTATCACAGTAATAATCCACAGACTGAACGGCTTCTGCTGCCCCAGGTGGTACTTCCTGTTCTGAATCTTTGTATGAAGAGAAAAGATTTCAGTCAGGACACAGCTCGTTCACTTCAAGCTCAGCATTTCATAAGCCAGTCTAGAACCTACAAGGAACTCTGGTTCTTACAAAGGCTAGAAAATTTCCCACTAACTGAAAAGAGATCATGGTAACGTACCAAATTTGTCCGCTCCACAGCGGAAGCATTTTAGCCTCCTTCTGAAGTTGTAAAGGCAGCACTGTGACAAACAAAAGAAGCCTAGTAAGAACTTGGGTAATTTTAGTAACACTGCATTTGCTGTACACTAACAAAACCCAGACATTCACACAAAGTAACACAACAAAGCTAACCCACCAGAACATCAAAAGCCATCCTTATCTGTACTACAGCTGCTTTTCAGAACATCCCAGCTACTTTCTCCCTAGCCATCCCTAATTAGCTATTTTAACTGTGTAGTCTTTGGCTTACGATCCCAGGCATAGTCACAACACAGTTACTAAAAGCAGCTTTAGAAGGGAACACATGCTGGGGCATAATTTAACTTTATGGGGAGCAGGAACAGGTTTGATTCAGGTGTCACTTTCTTTAAACCACTGAGCAACTGGTGAGCTCTAGAGCAAGACAAACTCTTACACAGAAATGTGTGCTGTACCTTGTTGCAGAGCCAGTCCTCAAATTTAGGCCTTGGGTTGCTGTAGTGCATTGCAATCTGCTTCCCTTGGATCACCAGTTTTTTCTGCAAAAAAAGTGGTTTCAATTATTCCTGTATCAAGACACACATGTCCATTTTCCCATGGCAGAGCACCCTTCGGAGGAATCAGTGCTCCTGAATTAAATGGACAACATATGGGGAGGATGTGGAGGACAACCACCGCCACCTACACCCTGCCCATCCAATCCTGCAGAGAGGAGGACGAGGGCAGTAAGAGAATGGGATGTGGAGCAAAGATAAACAGAATCAGGGAGTGTAGAAAAAGCTGCCAAACACTAAACGCTGACATGGAACCAGGAAGTGTCTCGAAGGAGACAGAGTCCTAATCTGCTGCATTCAGATTAACACACTTTTAGGAGTCTCTTTGCCCCCACATTTCTATGCACTTCTGGTATAGCACTGAGAGACTTTTTAAACATGTCCTTAGGTGACTGCTTCACTTCGTCCCCTAATCCAAACACCCCAGACCTTTTAACCACATTAGGATTTACGTTTCCAAGCACACTTCAGAAGCGTCCCCTTGAAAATACAGTAATTCCTCCCAAAGGGACCCTGCTTAGACTTCTTGAAGGCTGGATTACAAGTGCCATCAACCGAAACATAACTCAAGAGTGGTTTCATTTGACTACTGCATCAGTTCAATTGGAAGCCTGCACAAGAGGTTTGTGTTCTTCATTCAGGCAAGAGCTCTCCAAAATGAGTAACTAGATTGCACGTGAAGCTTCTCCAGGGGTAGGAAAAGTTCATAATGCTTTCAGCATGTCCTCTCACTCTGACTTCAGAGGAGTTAGGAATTTACAGCTATTAAGAAGCCTTGACTCTCAGCCTCACGCTTTACCAAGCGTGGGTATGCAGAATGACCTTTCAAAATATGGCTATCAACATATTTTGGTCAAACAGGTGGAAGCACATGTGAGGCAGTGCATATTAGAGGCCACACCCCAGACACTGCAACGGCAGAACCATTTTTATAGCAGGTTGGCTTTCTGCAGAGGTACCAGTGTCAGGACCAGTGGCTTTTTTGATAACAGGGTCTGACACAGATCTAGCACGTAGCATGAATAAGGCTCTCACATTCTGCACGACTGAATAGGGCAAAGCCATTGCTCCTACCGGCAGGAGGGAGGGTTGGAGGGCCCAGCACTCACTGGATGTGCACACATAGAAACAAGGCTGCTGGCATAGTTGCAATACATCGTTCTGTCATCTAACAGTCAGCAACCCGGCTGCTGGGGACAGCCTATGTTTTCCCTACTACTAAGGTGGCTGCTTACTGGAGTGAATTTGAGTGTATTTCAATAAATTATGCATCAGTACAGCTTTGTATATATTAAAAAATATTGATTTCTGAGAAATATGCTCAGCAGTGATTTCTTGGTATTAGTCTTTCCCCTGTAGCCACCTGCCCTACTGAGCAGCATGTCAGGAAAACAGAATTTGAAAGCTGCTCTCTGGCTGGGGGTCTCACCCATAGTGTGGGACATATGAAACACTATTCCAGCACAAGGCATATGACAAGTTCCATTTGCTGGAACTGCCATGAACCCCACGATGGTGCCATTTATTTATTATAACATCAACAGAGCAGAAAAACAGTCATAACGTTGTCATAGGACCGCTGCGTCAAATATTCAGGGGCAAGGAAAAAAAATCAGTGATTTGACACATTGCTTGCTTTGAGAGTATTTTTAAGTTCTGTTGTTAAAATCGGTTATGAATACTCAACAAAGTAGCAAAAGCAAGTGAAACTTTGCAGTGCTACAGGGAAATCTCATGGGAAAACAAACCAGAGGATTCTAACTGTATTTTGGCTCCTTATCAAGTCATAGTAACAAAAAAAGCCAAAATACAGAACCTAACAGATGTGAGATTTCACTGTCTGCCTAATTTAGTTGAAATGAATATGCTTTTTTCCTCTAGAAGAGCCAGTTCCCCCTCTTTAACTGGAGTAACAGATTATTGCCAAGAACTGACAATTCTCTTCCAGGGTTAGCACCAATGTAACACAGAGTGAGCTGTGGTGCTTTCTCTGACAACAGAGAAGGAAACATCAAGTGGAAATAAGCTAGGATTTTTTATCGACTACTAGCCAAATCTTTGTAAGTCGATTAAATGGAAACCAAGTCATTTAAAACAATGGCACCTTTTACCAAAGTAGAACTTTCTCTCCTAATTTTATCTTATATGTTACAAATTTTAATATATACAAAGCTTTTATTCTTTAAATCACTGTTATGGAACAAACCACTCCTTCCACCTCTATTTTTTCCTCTTTTTTTTTTTTTTTCTCGTTAAACTGTACAGACTTGTTCCATTTTCAGGAATATCTAGACTTGGTGAGTGAAGCAACCTGATTGGCTTCCATCCAGCTGGTAGCATCTTGAAAGTGATAAAACTCCACGAAGGCGAAACCACGGCTTACACCTAGAGACAGCATTCAGATATAGACGGGATACTTGTGTTAGTCAGTTCCTTTAAAACAGGTGAATCTCTCTCCAACTGCTTCATTACTTCATGACAAAGCAGCTTTACAAATGCGACGTCAACTGCTGGGATCTGCTCGTTATTTTGCCATGGCAAGGAACCAAGCTGCCTTAACTGGCTACATTTCACTCGATTTGAATCCATGTTTAAGGGTAACCATGCAACAGACTACATACTATTAAATGGGTTTACACTATTATTACTTACCAATACCTGTTAACAAAACCCCCTGTAGACAGACTTCTTTTAACATGTTGACCAGCTATCTAAGTCTTCCAAAAAGCCACATTCCTTAGCCATGGCAAACCTTTTTTTTTTTATTGCATGTGCTTGCAGTTTGGGGACAATTCTGGATACTCTTTTGGGCTGGGGAAGAGGAAGGTGATGTCAAAAACTGGATTAAGAGCTCTCACCTGTCTTTCTTTTCATCAGCCTCACGTCTGCAGGCTGAGGACCTTCAAAGGACTCAATAAGCTCACGAATCTGCAGGAGATTTTGATGCAACAGTTAAAATTTTCATAACTTGGCAGACAGAAGTCACAGAAACCACCTACCTTGCAGTACCATGAAAGAGATACACAAAACCATGTTTTCAACACTATCTCAAAGACAGAGAAAACATTTACTGAGAACCCAACAGGGGACTGATGAGCATCAAAGTCCACAAAATCTTCTGCTACACGCCAAACCAATTGTAATCCCCATTAAGGACACGGAACCATCCAGAACCTGAATTCCTGCGATTGTGTGTTCTCAGGTTATTTGGACAGTATTTGGCAAAGACGGTGCATGATCCCAAGATTTTAAAAAGAACACTGCCGGTATCCCTCTCCTTGCATGTCTAGAAAGCCTTTGCTCCTAGCAATGAAAAACAAGAAGCCTGCACTGCAAGGCTCCAAGATAAATGTATTTCTAAGCCTCATGCTAAAGATCAAATCCTTTAAGTGATTTCCATTGGTTTTTCAGGATAAAGTAGAATTGTGAAGAACATGTCATCAGATAAAAAGCTAAGGAAGTATCAGTTCTTCAGGTGTAACAAAGCTGCACAGGCAGCCTCAGCCACTATGCAGAAGCATGGAGGAAAAACAAACACTAACAAATCTTTTAACTCTAGAGCAGGAGACACAAGGTTTTTCAGCAGCTTTCACAGAATTCTAACTATATTACATGCAACAGGGCTGGTCAGCAGAATCAAAACTTATCTAAAGTTGCCTATTTATATGCTGACTGGAAATAATATCAGATATGCAAGTGATTTTTTCTTATGAAAAATGTAGGAAAAAAATAAAATTGTGTACACAAGCAGAAGTAATGTTAACATAAGACTTTAACTCTACATTCCAAAATGCATTGTCTACACTCTGAGTCCGGAATTAAACATAAGTATAAATTATGCTACAGTTACTGCACAACTGCAGAGGTACAAGATCAGTATCTCAGAAACCAGAACTGATCTAGAGTGTTCTGTCTATCGTCTGACTGGGCTGTTCCATTTGTATGCAGAAACCTATACTTGATTTCAAACACTCATGAAAATGTTAGAGCAGCATACGGTGGTTAGGAATCCTCAGTATCAGAAGGGTAAAAAATAATCAACGAAAAATCAAAGGAAAAAAAAATCGCCATTGCAGAAATGGTGTAAATGTATTCTCTGTGCTAGCAATTAAGGCATAAACACATCGGAGGCAGAGGTGGAGTCTTGACTGAAAACAAACCGTGACAGTTCAGCTTTTACCTACTTCAAATAACACTTGTGTGCTTATAGCTTGGTAACCAAAATAACCCAGTTAAAAAAAAAAAACAAACAAAAAAAACCTAAGAAGTTACCATAAATAAGAAAACCTTGAAAGTTTTAACATCTTTTTATCAAACACGTCAGACAAGTAAGCACCAAGCTCGGCAGCAGCCATTTTGGCTCCCACAGCTGTGCCCGCACAAAGCAGCTTTGTGCGCGGCGGTGCTCGCTAAGAAGCCCGGTGACTGTGTGTGACCCCATCGGTCACAAGTTCTGGCCTCGACGAAGACCAGAAAAACTGGTGAGTGACACCTCTTTGTCTTTGTGCCCTTCCCCCCTCCCTGCAGTGGGGCGAAGCGGCAAAAAAAAAAAAAAATCTGTCTCTTCCCCTCATACAGAAAAGCAGCAAAGAGCAGGTAGTTTAAAATCCATTCTTAGGGAAAGTATCCGTGAAAAAACGAGTATTCGCAGCTCGTTCCGTTTGAAAGGGGCCGATTAACATTGAACTGACCTCTATTGCTTAAGACTGGGAGTTTAAATGCTTTAAGGACTCAAAATGGCAGCGCGACAGCGCTGGAGAGGGGCCACCATGATGCAGCGCTCAACAAAATGGCAGCAACGCTCCGGTACGGCACAGCCCGGCGGCAAGGCAGGCACAGCCCTACCCGGCTACTCACATCGTTCTCCGTAACCGTGATGGGGAGCCCACGCAACATGATGGTCTTGCTTTCTTTTTCATCGTTAATATCGTTCCTGTAGTCGTGCTCGCCGTAGTCGCCATCGGAATGGTATCCGTCCTCTGATTTGTCGCTGTTCCTGCGCTCCCGCTCCCTCTGGAAGCCAGCGCCCCGGGTTAGCCACCACGATTCCCCGCAGCGGGTCCCCAGCGCCCCACGGACACCGCCCGCCCGGGGCTGCTCCCCACGGCCTTGGAGCGCCCCGGCACCGCACCCGCTCCCGAGCCCTCAACCGCACAGCCCGGACTGCCGGCCCGCTCACCTCGGGGCTATCGTAATCGCGGCTGTCGTAGTCTCTATCGTAGTCTCGGCTATCGCGACTGTCGTAGTCTCGGCAGTCCCGACTATCGTAGTCCCGGCAATCGTAGTCGCGGCTGTCCCGGCTGTCGTAGTCGCGGCAATCTCGGCTATCGTAGTCGCGGCAATCGCGGCTGTCGCGGCTGTCGTAGTCTCGGCAGACCCGGCTGTCTCGGCTGTCATAGTCCCGACTGTCGTAGTCGCGGCAGTCTCGGCTATCGCGGCTGTCGTAGTCTCGGCTGTCGTAGTCGCGGCTATCATAGTCGCGATAGTCATCGTAGCGGTCACCGCGGCGCTCCTCACTGGACCTCTTGTAGTCATCCCTCCGCCGGCTGCGGGACTCCCTCTCGTCGCGGTCCTCCCTCTCCACGATGGAGCCATAGCGGCCGCTCCGCTCCGTCCTGCTCACCCTGCGGAGCACAACGGGCCGAGCTCAGAGCGTGAAGCGCCCGCCGCGACCCCCACCACTACCCGACTCCTCCCGTCTCCCCTCGCCCTCCCACCGCCGCTTACCGCTTGTCCGAGCCCATGCCGCCGCCCAGGATCCGCAGGCACCCGGCACAGCGCTATCCGGCACCACACGCCGAGCACACCCGCGCAGTCCCTCTCGCTGCCTCGCCACAAAATGGCGCCTAAGGGACCGCCCGTCTTCTACCCAGCAGCCACCTCGCGCCCCGACTGGAAGCTTCCAGGCGGGCGCATGCGCAGCGGCCGCGCGGCACGCCGGGAAATGTAGTTGGGGCTGCCGCCATGAAGGGCCGTGCGGTCCGGCCTGCCCCGCTCTGACCGGGGTGCTCGGAGCCCTGTCCGGCTTCACTCCGGACACTGCCCGGAACGGGGCAGCCGCAACTGCTCCTCGAAACAGCTCCCAGAGCCTCGCCACAGCGCACTGCTTCCTCATGTCCAGTCTAAAACTGCTGTCAGTTTAAAGCAGTTATCCCTCGTGCTACCATATGTGCCCCATCCAAAGTCCGTCTCAGCCGACTTGGAGCCCTTTAGGCATCTTAAGTTCCCCCTGGAGTAATTTCTTCTCCAGAGTGAAGAACCTCAGCTCCTCCCCCCTGTCAATAGCTAAATAGTTGTCATAGCCTACCATCCCTTTGGGGAGCACCTGCCTCAGTTAAAAGTGAATAATTTCTGCCCCAAGGCAGGACATGGGACTGTACCCCCACCTGCACTGCTTGGGCTCATATGGCCAAGCCCAGGCGCTGCAAAGCCTACAAGACTTTGGCCCCAGCAACATTGTCCTGAGAACCCTTCAAACCACATTCAAATGCAGTCAGGTCCTCCTCACTGCCTGACCCTTAGCCCTGAGTATTTGCTTGGGACCACAGAAAAGATATTTAACACACAAAATCTTTATTATGTGTGTGCCATCTTTATTTTTTTCAAGGCATTTTTGTTAGTCTCAGAGCATGGCAGAGCGGGGCTGGCTGGAGGGCAGGGTGGGTTCAGGGTCACAGCTCATCCAGGGACTGCTTGGCAGAGCGGGCAGTACAGAGCAGTCAGGCAGTGCAGACAGGCAGTGCAGGCAGACAGACACACAAACAGTACAGACAGACAGACAGGCAGTACAGGCAGTACAGACAGACACACAGGCAGTACAGACAGTACAGACAGAACACGGGCAGTACAGACACACAGGCAGCACAGACAGACAGACAGGCAGTACAGGCAGTACAGGCAGTACAGACAGACACACAGGCAGTACAGACACACAGGCAGTACAGACAGACAGACAGACAGACACACAAACAGTACAGACAGACACACACACAGGCAGTGGAGTCAAACAGCAGGCAGGTCTGTCACAGGGTGTTTGCCCTACCCAGAGGCCACACAGCTGTTTCCGCTGTTGTCTGTCGGTGCTGCCTAAGGAGAAGTTTCTCCTCTGGACAGCTGCCCAGGCAGCCAGACGGCTCTCGGCAGCTCCTCGGCAGGCAGCCCTGGGCTGCAGGAGCAGGTAGGAACAGCAGCTGCCTGTACCTCTGCCCCATTGCTGTCCCCTTCCGCTGGCACTGGCAGAGGGCATAGCAGACAGGGGCTGTCCGAGCCCCCTCCTGCCAAAATCACAGCATTTCGCTGGTCTTGATAGGGACTTCGGGGATGACATTTAGTGTCTGGGGCCGTGTCGTTGCATTGTTTCCCCTCTTGCATATCCCTGGGGGCACAGAGCTGGCCAGCCTTGGGGACACACTCCTAGTGAGGGGAGGTGGGGGCACAGCTCCCCTGTGCTCCCCCTCGGCTCTGTGTCACTGGGAGCTTTCCACTCTGGGGTCCCTCAAGGGCTGAAGGGTGCAGAGAAGCTCTTCCACCCACTCTGGACACAGGGACAAGATTGAGGTAGTTTGTGCCATCCCCTTTTCCAGCCTTGCTGTAGGCTGAAGGCATAGGGAAAACAAGGCACAGCCACTGGACTTTCTGGGAAGGGCAGCATGGCATCTCTCACCTCTCCCTGTGCTGTCTCCAAGGATTTTTCTGGGGGATTAAGGCTGTGCTGACCCGGTGGCAGCGAGGGGCTCAGACATGGCTTACAAGCGCCAGGCTTCTTTCTCGAAGCAGCCAGACAGCAGGGAAAGGAAACTGAAAGGGGAAGAGGAGGACGACACCTGGAGCTCCACCTTGGCAACCCTGAAAACTGCTCCTAAGGAGAAGCGCCCTGCCACAATTGATGGGCTGTGCCCCCCGAGCAGGGCACTCGGTGCTCGGGTGAGAGCAGGGCTCAGGTACTCAGAGGGGCAGGGGTGGGAGGGGTGGGGGTCTCAGACCCTGTTGGCACAGGGTCAGCCCCAGTTTTCCTTGCAGACCCCAGTGTGTTCCCATTGGGACCTTTGTGCACCCCCTCCTTCCCCGAACGTCCCAGGTGCCAGCCCAGGCCGTGTCACTCGCTATAGGTCTATGAGGACTATGACTGCACCCTGAACCAGACCAACATCAAAGCCAACAACAACAAGTTCTACATCATCCAGCTCCTTGAGCATAATGGTGCCTACAGTGTCTGGAGCCACTGGGGCCGTGTGGTGAGTCCACCTGGGTGCTGCTTATCCCCTGCACGTCAGCTGTCCCCACCCTGCCTTCAGAACCCCAAAAATTGAGGGTGAACCTGGTGGTCCCTGGTCCCAAAGCAAGCACTCAAGTGTCCTGCTGTAGCACTTTAATGGAGGAGCTTCAAGGATCCCCACACAACATAGTCAGCCTGCATGGGGCATGTGGCACCTGTCCCTGCAGTGGATGTGAGTGTGACAGCCCAGCAAGGAGTCCTGAGCTGGTGGCTCAGAACATTCCTGCTCACTGCCCCACAGCCCTGCTATTACAGCCCCCCTTGTTCCTGCCTGCTTCCACTGGCATGGGCCTGGTGGAGCAGGGATGCAGGGGAGGTCCTGACCAATGCTGTCCACTGCCAGGGAGAGGTGGGCCAGTCCAAGCTCATGCCCTGTGCCTCCCTGGAAGCTGCCAAGAAGGACTTTGAGAAGAAGTTTCGGGAGAAGACCAAGAACAGCTGGGCAACAAGGGAGAACTTCATTGCCCAGCCGGGGAAGTACACGCTCATTGAGGTGCAGCCAGGGGCTGGGCAGGAGGTGGAGGCTACGCTCAGGGTGAGTACTGAGAGGTAGTCACCATGGTGGGATGGTCCTCACTGCACTCCTGGCCCACTGAACACCAGGATATCCAACAGGGCCCGCAGGATGGGACAAGTTTTGAGGGGGGGTCTGGGTGCTTGCTGAAACACCTTGCTGGCAGAGATTTAGGGCTAATGGGTTAAGATGGAGTGGGAGGGCATCCTGAATAAGAAATATGGCCTTCTGGGTGGCATTGGCCATGGAAAGTGGAGGCAGCACCTGCCCATTGCTCTGCTGCCCCAGGACCAGGCTCTCCTCACAGAGGCAGGCAGCCCTGGTGCTGTGCTCCCACAGCCTCTTGCAGGCCCACAGCTGATGTGGGATGTCTGCAGGTGGATGCTGTGGATGGGGACAAGGTCTGCAAGCAGAGGGTGCTGCCCTGCACCTTGGACAGAGCCACACAGGACCTGGTGTCCCTCATCTTCAGCAGTGACATGTTCCGGGATGCCATGCAGACCATGAATATTGGTAGGAGGTGGTGGGTTGATGGGTGGCATGGGCTCGGTCTGGGGGTGCAGGTGGGGAAGTGAACAGAGCAGAGGTGCTGATGGATTTTAGAGCATCCCCTCTGATATCCTGGCGCCCGATGGGACTGTGGACACCCCATGCTGGGTGCCCACACAGGCCCATGGTGATAGTGGAGGTTCTTGGAAGCAGCTGCAGGGTGAGTGAGATGGATGGGTTCACCTTGTCCTCCCCTGTAGATGTGAAGAAGATGCCTCTGGGGAAGCTGAGCAAGCAGCAGATCGCGAGGGGTTTTGAGGCACTGGACGAGCTGGAGGCAGCACTGAGGGAGCAGCCCCCCCAGGCCCCTCACCTGGAGGAACTCTCCTCACGCTTCTACACAATCATCCCACACAGCTTTGGACGGGCACGGCCACCCACCATCAGCTCCTCTGACCTGCTGCGTGCCAAGAAGGACATGCTGTTGGTGAGATGCCAGAGCACGTAGTGCGTAACATCCCTTCCTGGTGGGGCAGGAGCTGCTGGCAGGAGGCTGGGCTTGCCCTGGTCCCCCGGCACAGTGCCCAGCACTGGTGGTGAGGATGTCCCTGCTCTGTCCCTGCCAGGTGCTGGCTGACATTGAGATTGCACGGAGCCTGCAGGCACAGAAAGAGAAGGAGGAGGAGGAGGAGAAGAAAGAAGTTGCCCACCCACTGGATCAGGATTACGCCCTGCTCTGCTGCCAGCTCTCCCTGCTTGACCCAGCTTCCCGGGAATACCAGGTGCTGCTTGTGCCACAGTGTCTTATAATGGGAAACAATTATGTCAGGCCTGTGGGCACCCCAAAGATTCCTACTGTCCCAGTGGGACCGTGGGTATTGCTGAGATGGCTGCCGGAGTGACACAGCTTTTTTGCCTCCCCCTTGGCAGCTGATCCAGACCTATGTGATGCAGACTGGGCACAAACTCCACATCCTCAACATCTGGCAGGTGGCCCGAGATGGTGAGGTGAGGAGGAGGTGATTCTCTCCATGTCACAGTGAGGAAGCCATGGTTGCACCCTAGGATTGCTTTAGGGCTTCTCCACCCAAGGGGGCACTCAGCCCAGCTGGGCAGGGTCAAATAGGCACCCCGGTCTCCTGCCCCTCCAGCTGGGCACTGGGGCTGGACTGGGGAGGTGGGTGGCAGTCCTGGGCACCCATGTGTGTCCCTGTGTGGACAGCCTTTAGCTCTGCATCTCTCCAGGATGAGTGTTTCAAGGCCCATGACCTCCTGGAGCACCGGCGCCTGCTTTGGCACGGCACCAATGTGGCAGTGGTGGCGGCCATCCTGAAGAGTGGGCTGCGCATCATGCCCCACTCAGGCGGGCGCGTGGGCAAGGGCATTTACTTTGCCTCAGAGAACAGCAAATCAGCCTGCTATGGTGAGGCTCCTGGGATGGGCTGGGCTGCTTGTGATGCCCACAGGGTTGTGTGAACCTGGCCACCTTTGCGTACCCCCTGCCAGGCAGCTGTGGGCTTGCCAAGCCCCCTCCCTGCCATGGCAATTGGTCCCTGTGTTCCAGCGTGGCCTGGGCACAACCGGATGGGAGTACCAGGGATTGGTGCTATTATTCCCATCCTTTTCTCCCATGGCAGTGGGCTGTACATCTAAGAATGTTGGCATCATGTTCCTGACGGAGGTGGCCCTGGGCAAGCCCTACCGCATCACCTGCGATGACCCCACGCTGTGCCAGCCACCTGCTGGCTATGACAGTGTCCTGGCCTGTGGCCGCACAGAGCCGGGTGAGCTGGGGGCAGGAGGGCTGGGGCAGCTGCAGGGCTGTGGTGCACACAGGGCAGGGGGGAGAGAGGCCAGATCTCAGGTTTCATGTGGTGCTGGGGTGTCTTCTGGCCCAGATCCTGCACAGGATGAGGAGGTGCTGCTGGATGGCAAGAAGGTGCTGGTGTGCCAGGACAAGCCCATCCCCATGCCCGCCTACAAGGACTCCTCCTTCAGCCAGAGCGAGTACCTCATCTACAAGGAAAGCCAGTGCTGGATCCGCTACCTTGTCCAGCTCCGCTTCTGAGGGTGCCTGGGGGGCACCACAGCCCTGGCCCAGCACCAGGTGGTGACACCCATCAGCCCAGAGCACAGTGATCTGGATTCTCTGGCCACCCCACCTGGGGCTTGGCAAGGGACAGGCTGGCATGGGGACTGAGCTTGCTTTGACTGTGAATAAAAGCACTGTGCCTTGCACCGGGTGGTGCTCCTGCTTTCCTGCCCAGCAAGGCGGGTGTGCTGTAGGGAAGGGTGTCAGTGGGTCCGTGAAGGGATGGCATGGGTGACTCTAGAGGGGCTGAAGCCTTCAGATGAAAGTTGGTGTCTTTGAGAGCCAGCTGCTCTCATCACCTTAGCAAGGCACAAGGCTTATGCCCACCCTGTGGCATCAGAGCTACAGAGGATGAGCAAGATCTGCTGCCCTGCTGGAGCATGGAGGAATTCATCCATCCATCCATCCTGAGGGTGAGTGCCTGCCCTCCCTCTAGTGCCATGCCTCATGCCATGCCTGCTGGCAGCCTGGCACCCATGCCAAGCCCTTCTCTGTGCTCACGTGTGCCCCTTGAGCACATGCCTGGGTGCTCAGGCTGCCAGGGAAGGGCAACTCCCAGCTGTGTTACCCTGATGCCCCTGGGTATCAGTTACCCTCTGATACCCTGTGCCAGTGGAGATGATTTGCTGCACATCCTGCCTGCAGCTCTGTCCCTTGAGCCCAAGGAACTTGAGGGCTGAGGTGATCCTGTGGAAGGACCAGGCCTGGTGCAGTGGGTGGCCATTCTGGGGGGGCACAGGGCTCAGGAACCCCAATCCCCCCTTCCTGAGCCCCCGCCGGCTGCTAGGACCCAGCAGCTGTCCCCGTGGGACTGCCCCGGGCGCAGGCAGTGCAGGCAGCGCTGGGAGTGACAGCTGGTGCCATCCGCAGCTGGCGGGCTGCAGGCAAACAGGATGACGAGCGGGTGACGGGAGCGGGAAGGGGGAGCGTGGCCTCACACAGGGCCGGCAGCCCCGCTTCTGCTGCGGGAGCAACACCAGCAAGCAGGACCTCAGGGAGGAGAGGAGCATCACTCATCTCCCCAGGAGCAAAGGTGCGCTGAATCCCACCCACCCTGGGGTCCCCTGTGGCCAGAGCAAGGGGGTTGGGACAGGCAAGTTGTGCTGTCCCACCTCAGGACATACTGGTGCCATTGGAGAGGGAGGATGGGGTGTCAGCCTGGCATGGGTGCCCACAGGACCTAGCTATGCTATCCCTGGCCAGGTGGGGACAGCCCGGGTGCCATCTCTGGGAGAACCAGGGTGATATGACTTCACCGGCTACCTCTCCCTCCTCCGGCACCTTGGAAGTGTGCTGGTTGTCTCTGTGTTTCTCTGTGGCTCTTCTCCATTTTGTTTCATTCCCTTCACACCTGGCTCCTGATCTCAACAGGCAAGGAGAAGGTCCAGCCATGGTTATGGTGGGGTTACCCTCTCTGGGACGCAGGAGAAGAGCCCTTGCTGCCCAGGCAGCAGAGCTGCTGGCTTAGCCCTGGAGGAGGATGCCGAGCTGGACAGGGTCAAACACCACGGACAGCCTAGAGCTGCTCTCCATCCCCAAGCACTCCATTGCCCAGGAGGTGGTGGGCCTCTTCTGCATGATCCTGCTCACCCTCACCGCCCTGGTGGCCAACATCGTGGTGATGGTCATCATCCTCAAAACGCCCCTTTTCAGGAAGTTCATCTTTGTCTGCCACCTCTGTGTGGTCAACCTCCTCTCAGCTATTTTCCTCATGCCCCTGGGGATCATCTCCAGCTCCTCCTGTTTCAACTGGGTTATCTACAGCATTGCTGAGTGCAAGGCCGTGATATTCCTGAACATCTGCTTCATCAGTGCCTCCATTCTCACCATCTGTATCATCAGCGTGGAGCGGTACTACTACATTGTCCACCCCTTGAGGTATGAGGTCAAGATGACCATCAGGCTGGCGGTGGCTGGAGTGGTTTTCATTTGGGTCAAGTCTGTTCTCACCACTGTCTTGGCACTAGTGGCGTGGCCTCATGGCAATGGGGCCACCAGTGCCAGCCACTGCACAGTCTACTGGAGCCCCGGGGCCCACAAGAAGGTTTTTGTGATCCTCTTCAGCATCACCTGCTTTATTCTGCCCACCCTCATCATCCTTGCTGTCTACTCCAGCATCTACCGCGTGGCCCGGACTGCGTCCCTGCAGCAGGCACCTGTGCCAGCACAGGCAGTGGCACCCAGACACCGATGTGACTCCATCGCCAGCCAAGTGACCATCCTCACTGCCAGGATCCTGATGCTGCCCAGGCTGATCCCAGATCGCCTTCTAGGAAGCAACAAGGCCATCCTCACCTTGGTCCTCATTGTGGGACAATTCTTGTGCTGCTGGCTGCCTTTCTTTGCTTTCCACTTGCACTCCTCTGTCACTGTTGGCACTGTGGGTGGTGGGCACGGGGAGATGGTGGTCACCTGGATTGCCTACTCCTCCTTTGCCGTTAATCCTTTCTTCTATGGGTTGCTGAACCGCCAAATCCGGGAGGAGCTGGCCCGGCTCCGTCGCAGATGTCTAAACCATCCACTTGGTCAGGAGATCTGTCTTTCCATCTCAGAGGCTTCTGTTCAGGAAAACTTCTTGCAGTTCCTCCAGAGAGCAACTTGCACACTGGAGACTCACACCAGCTGCATCAGCCCCAGCCCCAGGAATAGGCTGGACCAGACCACAACGGGCTTCCCCACCCCGGGTCAAGTTCCTGAAGAGAGCAGCTGAGAAGGCGGCTCTGTCCCACTGTGCTGGGCAGGAGACCTGCCAGGGACCCATCAGACCTGCTTGGACCCAATCTCTTGGATTTGGAGGAGTCCTTGTGCAGGTTTTGCCTCTTCTCTGAGCTTATGGTAAAAGATGGTTTCTCCGCTGGGAGAAGGTAGCAGATCTGAGGAAGTCACATCTCTCTTCTGCAGGCTGGAATTGTCTCTGGCTCCACCAGCACAGCCCAGTTCAGGGATGGGCTCTTCTCAGGACGTGGAGTGCCAGGGGCCTCCTGTGCAGGGCCAGGGATGGGACACCCCCATCTCCATTGCCCGGTGGGAGCACGCCTGGCCAGCGGGGAAGGGCCGATGTCCCTTGTACCCTATCCAGGAGCAACGTTCCAGCTAATGCCACTAACACCAGTAACACCAGGGCCCTGAGCCCCCTGTGAGCCTGGATGGCAGACACGGAGCCCCCATCCTCGGCTGTTTAACCCAAAACTAACGCCTGTGTGGAGCAGCTTCTGCTCCCTGTGACACTGATCGGGGGACACACCCACAGGGCTGGCTCTGGGTGTGTCACTGTTTGTCCTGCTGGCATGGCAGCGCACAATGCCCTCTGTCCCTCTCAGCTGGCAGTGATCACCCCTCTGGGGGGGAACTGGCTGTCTGGGGGCTCATGCCAGGCTGTTTATGGACACAGCTGCCCAGTTTAAAGCCCGGTCAGCAGTGCCAGGTGCCAGCCGATTTGGGCTGCTAGCCAAGGGCACGCTGGGCTGGACATGGTGACACAGGGTGGTGGGGGGGTGGCTGTGTGGGCTGCCCCAGGGCAGCAGCAGCCAGAGGGGATCAGGACCTGCTGTTCCTCTTCAGTCTCATTGCTTTTGAAGGGCTTAGGGACACTCTCATAGGGTCCTCCCTGCTTGAAAGGGGACTGGACCCTTTTGGGGAATGCTGCAGGGGTACATCACCCTCTGCCCTCCCACAAAGGTCCCAGGGATGGTGTTGGCACGGTGGGTTGGAGGATTCCTACTCCAGTAGTAACTGCAGGTGTGAGGGAAAACTGCCTTATGGCCTCTCTTAACTCCCCTGTGGCAGGGAGGGGCTCCAGGAAGATCCTCAGAGAGATGGGGCTGAAGGCCAGCATCCCCCCCTAGACACAGGGATGCCCTTCCAGCCACCACCAAGTACCCAGGAGCTGGGACCACCCCTGCTCTGGGGGAAGTCTCCACCCAGGGTAGGGAATATAATTATTATTATTATTGTTATTTCTTGTAAATTTTATCTTTTTATTAAACCATTGATAAGTTACAAAGGAGGAAAAAATATAGACTCATATATACACAGCATTTCCAAGCCAGCAGGGACTGGCTCTTGGATGGGGTTGCTTGGAGGCGATTGCCCCAGGGTGGCCCAGGGAGGGGCCACACCAGAGCCAGTGGAAGGGGGACTCCTGGAGAGGCCAGGCAGCCCTCATCCAGTGGGACCTGGCTTTTGGGTGCCAGATGGAGTGTGGGCATGAGCAGGATGGCAAGGGAGGTAGGGTGAGGAGCAGGAAGTAAGGGTCCCACACCAGCACAGGGCACTGGCAGAAGGGACCCTAGGCCAGCAGGGACAGCCTCCCCACCCAATACTAGGACACATGGTCTGTGTGCAGAAAATCAGGGAGGGGGGCACAGCGCTGCTGGGATGGGCAGCAGGCAACAAAACAGCCCCTTCCTCCAGCAAGCATCACCACCAGGAAGACCCTTCCCTTCCCTGGGGTGGGGGACATGGGGCAGCTGGCAGAGGCTGAGGTCAGGGTGGGCGTTGGGAAAGTGTCCCTGCTACTGAGTAGCACCCTGGAGCCCCGGCCCACCCAGCAGTGGGGTTCAGTAGGGCGAGAACTTCTGCCGGTCAGCTTTCTTGGTGCCGTTGGCCGCCGAGATCTTGGTCGTGTAGGTGGTGGTGCCACCATTGGGACCTGCCACGGAGGATGGGGACAGTGCCAGGAAGGACACCGGCTTCAGGCCGATGAAGTTGGAGAGGGAGATGGCGTAGGGGGTGCCCAGCAGGGCCGGGGGGGCTGGGGCGACGGCGGGAAGTGCTGCACCGGAGCCTGGGGCGAGGGGCTGGGAGAAGCCCATGCCAAGGTCCATGGAGCCAGGGCCTGGTGGCACCTGGGAGGTAGATTTAGCAGTCTCTAAGCTGGGGAAGCAAGAGAGAAGGATGATGGTGAGTACCATGGTGACAGAGTGGTTCTCCCACCACAAGCTTAGGGTGCAGGAACCCCATTCCTTCTGGCACATGTATCCATGGCACATCCTGCATATCCCACTGAGCAGGATTTAAAAACTGGGCCTCAGATCTGGTGGGTCTTGGGTCCTGCACCTACCACCCCAGGATCTCAAAGCACCACCCAGCTCATTCTACCTGAGAATGCTGTGGATCCTCCAAAAGCTGCCTTGGTGTGCTGGTGAAAAGCCACCCCTCACTAGCACCCAGCATGAGTCCCCCTCAGCTGACACCTACCAGGCTGTGATGAGGTACTGAGCCAGGGTGATGCTGACAGGGGTCCCTGTGATGGTCACATGCCGCTCACTGGAGCCCTCAGTCTGGTTGCCAATCTTGATGTGGGCACCCGACATCTGCCTGATCTCGCTGATCTTGCTGCCGTGCCGGCCGATGATGCAGCCGATGAGCTGGAAGGGCAGGGACGGGCTGAGCCAGGAGCAGCCAGGGCAGCCCTGCCAAGCAGGGAGCTCCAAGGGGCTCACCCAGACACCACCTACACCTCCCAGGGGAAACTGTGGAAGGCACTGGGAGGGCAGGACACTGCTTTCCTTGGGCAGACCCTGCTTCTTGGTCTCAAGACCATCTTGCTGGCATTGTGCCACATGCCAAGGTCTTTACTTGGGAAACTCTTCCCCTGTCCTGTGTTTCAGTTTCCCCTTTCTTCTGCCCCAGCTACTCCCTCCTGCTCCTAAGTTCTGGCAGAGCCTCCACTGTGTGGGTCAGTGGGCATTGGCCTCTGCAAAGTGCCACTGGGATGGTACATATGGGTGGGGACAAGCTGTGGTCCCCCTCATCATTCCCAGACCAATACATACGTCATTGGGCACCAGGAACTCCTGGGAGCTGCTCTGGGAGCTGGGATCCAGACCTGGAGAGAGAGACAGGGATGTCAGCAATGAAGGGGCAGCTCTCCAGTATCTCTGAGCCCCTCCCGCAGCCCCATACTGGGATGGTGAGTGGCCCTGGGGACAAACCTGAAGGATTGCTGGGGAAGGGGGGAAGGACAGGACATAGACACAAGTCATAATTTGGTGCTGGTGCTCTCCCACTGCAGGACTGGGGAGTACTGGTGGGTGCAGTGACCCCAGGAAAACCATGACAAGGTTGTGCTAGAGGGGCAGGCAGACATGCTGAGGGGGCTAGGACTGGAAAGGGTGCAGAGGAGGGAAACCCCTTCATCAGGGCCTGGTGTCAGTGTGGATCAGGAGGGGCACACCCAGCCTTGGGGGAGCATGGGAGATGCTCACCTGGCACCATGGTGGGTGCATGGCCCAGGGGGGCAAAGGGAAGTGCATGTCCTGACAGCTGCTGCAGCTTCGTCACCTGGCCAGACAGTGCAAAGAGGAGGAATGTGCTGTTAGGGGTGATGGCAGAGATCAGCAGTGCCCCAGCGCCTCCCAAGACAGGCATTCCCACCAGCAGCCATCCTGGTGGGCACAGACGCCATTGCCACAGAGACAGACTCACCTCGGCAGGAGAGACCCCGCTGTACTGGCCCTGCATGGAGAAGCCCTGGGGAGAGAAAAAAGGGGCATCAGTGGGGAGCCAGGTGGGGACCATTGTCTCAGGTCACTCCCCCTGGGGCAGAGAAACTACCCTGAGCCCACCAGAGTTGCCCCTTGCTGGTAGAGGCTTCCCTCCTGGCCACGTCATGCCCTAGGAGATGCTGTGGCCTCTTACCTGATTGGCAGAGAGCAGGATGGTGCCCAGGGAGAGACCAGGGTGGTAGGGTATGGTGGCCCCCTTCGGAGGCGACTGGAGACAGAAGGAAGGAGGTGGAGGAGATGAGAGATGAAGCTGAAAGCCCCTGTAGCCCCAAGGACCCTCTGCCCCCTTATGTCCCCAGCAAGCTGGGCACAGCCCCCAGCACTATGAAGGCAGTGTGCTCCTATGGGTTTCCACACAGGGGAACCCTGGTGTTTGGGTCCAGATGGGCACGAGAAGCCTTGGGGAGGGGGAGGTGGGTAGCAGATGCCCCCTGGGCTGGGCATGGGGCTTGGCAGGTACCTCCAGGATGACAGCGCAGATCTGCCTCACGCACTGGATGATGGTGTCTGGCACCCCCGAGACTGTGACAGCCCGTTCAGTGGAGTTGGGCAGCAAGTCACCAGCCACCTGCACCTGTGCCCCGGTGCTCTGCAGGAAGCAGAGAGATGTTTGCATTCCCCAACGACTCCTTGCCAGGGCTCAGCACTTTACACCTCCCCTGTCCCCCTCCTGAGCCCCCCGGGACCATTGCAGGATCTGCAGGGTGATGCTTCCTCTCCTGCATCACCTCCCTCAGCCCCACGGGACTGTGTCAGCCCCCACGGGACTGTGTCAGCCCCCACACCAGGGCTCTGTGCCCCCAGGGGGAAGAGGAGATCCCACATCCAGGCTACCCTCAGGCTCACCTCCCGGATCTCCCGGATCTTAGCTCCAGCCTTGCCGATGAGGGAGCCGCACTGGCTGGCGGGGATGACAAGGCGCAGGGTCACCGGGGCTCTGCCCGCTGACACCCCATCGCCCCCCGCTCCCAGGTCCTGTGAGGGATGTGGGATGCAGTGTCAGACCCCCAGGATCCCACAGGTGTGGGGGCACCTGGCAGGGATTTAGGAGGGCTGTCTACCTCCTCCAGCTTGAAGGCGATCATGGAGACAGCACGGAAGACAGCGTCGGTGGAGCCGGTGATGGTAGTGATGCGCTCGGGGCAGGACCCTTCCGAGATAGTGATTCGTGCAGTGCTCTGGGGACAGTGCCACACCCGTTAGGTGCTTTGTGACTTCCCTCAGGGATAGTCTCATAGGGGGAGACCGATGCCTTCGAGCCCGAGCCTTGCCCTTCCCACCTGCCCCAGGCAGCCTTTCCTGGGGTGCTGCTTTGTTTTCCCTGGTTTCAGCTGGGATTTAGGGGGGCAGGCACATGGGAGCTGCCAGGTACAGGCAGGACAGGCAGCAGGATCTGGCAGCCCACCAGCATGCCCTTACCTGCTCTCGTATCCTCTTCACGGTCTCTCCTTTCTGCAGGTAAAGGAATAGGGTAGGTGGTCAGGTCCAGGGGAGCCAAGTGCTGGCAACACACAGGACCCCAAATCTTACCTTGCCGATGATGCTGCCAATCTCCTGAAAAGGCAGAGAAGAGTGTCACTGTCAGGAGGTGGCTCCCTGCCTGCCACATCCCTCCTCTGCCCACAGCCTGGCAACAGGCAGACCCTGCCCCAGGGACACTGGGTGACTTAACTAGTGAGACTGGGGAATGGGGATGTGCTCCTCCCTGGCTTAGGATGGGGAAAGAAATCCTTCTGGGAATGCTATTCCCAGGGGAGACTGTGAGCATGAGAAGAAAACGGCACAGGAAACAGGGCACGGTGAGGAGCTGGAGCTCCAGCATGGCCCCTCACCCCAGGCATCGCTGACCCCTCAGTGGCACTGAGCCCCCTGCCATTACCTTGCCATGCATGAGCATGCGGAGGGTCAGGGTGATGCTGAGCTCGGTCTCCTCAGGACTGCCACCCACGCCACTGGCTCCGTCCGGCGATGCCATGGCGGGAGGGCGAGATGAGCCTGTGGGACACGGTGCTCTTCAGAAAGGGGGGATGGCCCAGCTAACCCCACCCCAGATCTGCAGCTTGACTATCCTACGGCTGGGAAACGGGCAAACTGAGGCAGAGGCAGCACCGTGCCTTCCTCTGGCAGGCGAGGGTCACAGGGCCCCATGGCATCCCACGGGCACCCTGCAGTCCCAAAAGGGACCTGCTGCATGTGTCTGCCTGAGCTGCCTCCAGGCTGGTCCAAACAAAGTCAGGAACTGGATGGATACAGGGGGAGGAGGCAAGGCGTGTGGAGCGTGGCTGTGGGATAAGGTTCTGTTTGCAGATGCTTGCTGGAGTGGGGAGAACAGAGGTGGCCTGGGTGGTCTCTCAGGCTATACAAGCCACCTTCTTTCTCCTCCTCCCTTCCCCATGCCCATGCACAAAGCCCCACTGAGGCAAGCTCCCTGACGGGGACCACCCCAACCGAACCACAGCATGATGCCTGCTGACTGACCCGCTGCACCGTGTCCCCT